TGGCACTGAGGGGCATGGGACGAATTCCTCCTCACTCTGCCTGGTGTAAATTAGGAGTAACTCCATGGGCACCAAAGAGCCATTTCCCCTTATTTACTCTGGTGTAAATGGTGGCGACTTCATGAGCATTTGTGGGACGGATTCCCCCTCACTCTGGTGAAAATCAGGAGTAACATGGAAAAAGCCGTTTTCCCAAAGGATTTTTGGGTTCAAATACAACAACAACATTTGACTTTTTGAGTAAGAAACAGGGCATGTTCTCCCGCTGAGTTTAGAAAAGTGCAGCCTGCTGGTTTTTATTTGAAAAACAAAACCCTGAGTCACAAATAAAAGTTGATTTCCCCTGCAAACTGTTTGTATCTGTGTGTGGAAAGGGGGGGGGCGAGGAAGGGGGAGAGACAATTGGGGCATGTTGATGAAAAAAATTCATTTTCCAAGTCCCTTTATGGTTAAAAGAAACCCCAGGTGCTGGTTTGGGTTCCAGGTTTATAGTCTGAGATTTTAAAAAACTTTTGATTTCAAATCTGACTTGGGGTCCCCGTTTTGGATCCGGGGCTTTTGCCAACTGCCTCATTTCACGTGCAACGGGGAGCCCTAATATCGGGGCCTTGTCTTAGGCAGTGACCTCCCTCCCCCCCAATGAACAATGGCCCCCTTCCACCAGTCCTCAGAACATACCCGCCAAAGAACCCAGCTCCCTGTGTCAGGTGGGGGAGAGGCCCTGGAGGTGGGGGGTGTGGGTCCCAGGTCGTGGCTCTGTAGCTCGGCACATGCCCAGCCCTCCTTGCTCAGGGGCAGCCTGAACCGTCTCCAGTGCCATGTATCAATAGTCCTGCATGGGCCTAAGCCAGGCCAAGCCCGGAGCAGGTGGGAGTCTGAGCTCGTTCCCCAGAGGGGGCTCCCAGCCTTTGTGCGGGGGAGGGGAACAGGTCAGGTCTGGGTGCTGACCCTGCCCATGGCACTTTGGACTGGGCCAGACCAGACCCCACCCGACCTCAAGGCGCCAGGTGGAGCAGGAGGCTCTGGAGTTGCAGTGGCACCAGCGCCAGGGAGCAGCTGGCAGGTCCCAGCAGCTCTGGGCCAGTCCTGGGGGATGGGGGCCCTTCAATGGGCTGTCGTACCTCGGTGTTTTCGTACCTCGGTACCTTCGGTGGTCTGGACTGTCAGTGTCAGGGTTGTTGGATCAGGGTCATCCTGGTGCGCTCCTGACAGGACCTCTACTCCTTCGGTGATGATAAACTTTCAGCTGCGTGCGTAACAGTCGGTACTCCCTTTATCTAGAGCGATAGACCTCGGGCACTTGGGTCAACACAGGAGATCTCTGAGAGGCCCCAGAAACGACAGATGCAGGCAAGGTTTGAAATCAATCGAGCAGGTTTATTGTCAAACGCGAAGCTCTACCAGTTGGTAACAGAGATCAGTACAATGTTACACCACTGGGCACTGTGGCCCGCGTTGACAAGGTACCAACACCGGGCAGGCCTATTGCCATATAACAGATATTAACAGCAGTTAGTCAAAGTTAAGCTACTGTGCACTCTGTAA